TAAAAAAAAAAAAACAGGAGTAGAGAGGCCGGGGATATAGCTCAGCGGCATAAGTGCCTGCCTGGCAAGCATAAGGTCCTGAGTTCAATCCCTGGTACTGCAAAAAAAAAAAAAAAGAAGCAGAATGTCCTAAAACAGCACATGTGGCATGTATATTTTTTAAAAAAGAAAATCTCACGCTATTAATAGTTACTCTTCTGGTAGGCTCTTTAGACTATTTCTAAAATGTCCATTTTATACAAATGAGCATGTATTAATACTTGATCATTAGAAAGAAAAATTTTAAGAAAATGAAAATTTTCTCACTGAAGCACAGCACACTTAGAAATTCAAGTATTAACCCTTGCAAGCCTATGTGGTAACCTGCAAAACCAGGAAGTCCAAAATCAAATTTGATTTTAGCTCCAGCTCCATCACCCATTAACAGTGTGACACTGGAAAGTGACTGATCCCCCACACCACGAAGAATCAAGACTAGGAGCAGAAAAGATACCTGAAGCATTAAACACATGAATTTTGAAAGTCAGCAGAAACAAAATTCTCAAGTGCAACAGTCAGAAGCAAACTGAAAGATCTAACACAATTTTTCAATTTAGAGTTGAAGAAACTAAGGCTAGTTAAATTTCAGAGCTATTCATAAAGAGAATCTGATATTTAAACCTGAAAGCACAGCAAAGAAGACTGACTCTGGAATCAAACTACTTAGATTCAATCTAGGATTTATCACTCACAATCAATGGATTCCATCAATAGATTTACCACTCATACCCATGTGACCTGGCAGAATTCCTATGCCCTGTATAAGCCTCACTGACTCCATCCAGGAAATTAGGAGAATACAGCTGGCACAGGGGCACGTGCCTGTAATCTCAGCTACTCTATGGGCTGAGCCAGGAGAATCCCAACTACCTGAGCTCAATCCACAACGACTAAGGCACATACAAACATACACAAAGGGGAGAATACTAGTTCCTACTTCATAGGCTTGTGAAGATTACTGCGAATAATGCAAATAATGCACATACAGTAATTCTTAGCAAACAGAAACTGCTCAATAAATGTAAACTAGTACTGCCATAACCAACAACTCTTTTTCCTGCTATACGGTGATGCCACAGGCCTGAAATCATTTAAAAAGTCATCATTAATAAAAAGTCTGTATGGGGCCAGGGAGACGGCTCAGTGGAGTAAGTGCTTGCCTGGCAAGCGCAAGGGCCTGAGTTCAATTCCCAGTTCCACAAAAAATAAATAAATAAATAGATAGATAGATAGATAGTCTGCAGCTGTATGGTTGTGCAGGGCTGTAATCCCAGCATGAGAAAGAATCACCACAAGCTCAAAGTCAGCCTCAGCTACATAGTGAGTTCAAGGCCAGCTTGGACTACATAGCAAGACCCTGTTTCAATCAATCAATCAATCAATCAATCAATCACCAGTCATAGAGCAAGAGGAAATCTTATAGCTTAAAATCTCTGGGTAAGTACAAATAGCTACAAAAATTAAATATTATAAAGGCTTTGCATAAGATGGAATTACAAAATAAAGATGGAATTACCTTTCTTTAAAAAAAAACATAATTAATTGTAACCTAACTTGAGAAACAGAATAATTCTAGTTATCTGACATAGAATTCTACATATCAATGTGAGTTTCTTAAAGAAGACTTATTTAATATGAAAGCTAAACTTAAAAAAAAAAAAAAAGTACTTCACAAGTATTTCAGGAGTGTGTCATTCACCCACATTTATTTTCTGGTGTTTGTTTTGTTTTTATTTTTTGGGCCGCTCAGGTTGCTTTCAGGGCAGGTCTGGTTTGACTTGAGGATGAGGGGATCAATCCACAGCATCCTGAGCCTCACTGCTTTGTTTCAGCAGGCACTTAAACACCTGAGCTAATGGGCAGGACCCCTGTTTTGTTTTGTTTTGTTTTTGGATGAGTGTCTCACTATGTATTTCAGGCTGACCTTGAACTCATTATGTGGTCCAGACAATCCTAGAAGTAATGGAGATCCACCTAATTCAGCCTCCTAAGTGATGGGATTAAAGTTGAGCTCCATTATCCATTTTCAGTGCTGGGGAATCAAACCCAGAACTTCACCCACTGAGAAGTGCTCCACCACTGAGCCACAGCCCCTCAGCTCTAAGCACCATTTTTTTTTTTTTAAATATGGAACACTTCACACATTTGTATGTCATCCTTGCACAGGGTCCATGCTAATCTTCTCTGTATCTTTCCAATTTTAGTATATGTGCTGCCAAACCAAGCACTCAACACCATTTTTTAAAGCATGTCATAAAGACTACAAAAGCAAAAATAGGCAATGGGCACATATTAAACTATGGCAATTGTGCATAGCAAAAGAAGCAACAGAGTGAAGAGACAACCTACAGAAAGGAGGTGATGGCATGGGGGCACATGCCTATAATCCCAGCACTTGACAGGCTGAGGCAGAAGGACAGCTACGACTTAGGCCAGTTTGCACTACAAGGCGAGTACATGAGTTCAAGGCCAGCCTGAACTACACAACAGGGGAGCACTGTCAAAAAAGACAAAATACCCCCCCAAAACCAAAACTTTAAAAGGGGAGTGGGGAAATGCTGTATTTGTAAACTATTAATATTCATTTGACAAAGGATTAAATTCTAGCCAGGGGAGTGGTACATACCTGCAATCCCAGCACTCAGGAGGCTGAGGCAAGGGGATCATTAAGAACTTGAGGCCAGCTAGACTGTACAGTAAATTCAAGATCACCCTGAGAGCCTGGATCATACAGTGAGACCCTGTCTAAAAAAAAAAAAAAAAAAAAAGCCCATAAGTTAAGGCTTGTGGCAGTACTGGAGATAGGGACATGTCCTCCATGGGGACTACAGGACCATCTCCTCTCACCCCATTTGCAGTCATGAGATGAGAAGTTCTGCTCTACTACATGCTCCCTGCCATGATCTGCTGCCTTGCTGTAGGCCCAAAGCAACAGCCAACAAACCACAGAATGAGCCCTGAAAACCATGAGTCAAACCATCTATCTCTCTTTACAGACTGATCTTCTTAGTTATTTTTGTTACAGTAACTGAAGACTGACACAATGTGCAGGGAAAGGGATAAACACACCAGTGTTGGCTGCATGCCAACTTTTTGGGCTTTTTTGATACTGAGAGTCAAACTCAGGACCTTGTACTTGCCAAGCAGGCACTGTGTGGCTGAGCTACATCCCTGGCTTTTGTTTTGTTTTTATAGACAGAGTTTTCATTATGTAGTTTAGACTAGCCTTGAACTCATGGTGATTCTCCTGTCTCAGCTTCCTGAGTACTGGGATTACAGGTGTGCACCATCATGCCCGGTCCACACACCCACATTTTTTTTTTACTGTATTATTCAAAATAGCTAAAATATAGTAATCAATGTAGATGCCCATCAATATATAAGTAGTTAATGTGGGATATATACACAAAGAAAGGGCTGGGGAGAGAGCTCAGTGGTCTAACTGCCTGCTTGGCAAGTGCAAAGACTCAGGTTTGATCCCTGGTACCACATGTTATGCCAGCCCAGTCACAGAAACCAGGCATGGCGGCACACACCCATAATCCCAGCTCTGGGAGGCTGAGAAAGGAGGATCACTACAAGTATGAGCTGCATAGCAAGATCCTGTACCAAAAAAATAAATACTTAAACAATTCAAAAAAATACACAAAGAAATATTCAGCCCCAAACCCATGTTTATCCATGACCAGATACACTAGTATATGCCTGGAGTCCCAGCTACAGTCACTTGAACCCAAGAATTTCAAGCTAGAGTAAGCAACACAGTGAGACTGTCTAAAACAAAAATGAGCTGGGCATGGTGACACATGTCATGAGAGGCTGAGGCTGGAGGACTATTATAAGTTCCACACCAGCCTGGGCTACAAAGTGAGCTCAAGACCAGCCTGAGTTGCATAGTGACAGCCTGTATCAAAAATAAATAAATAAATAAATAAATAAATAAATAAATAAGGAAAAATGATAACTTGCAGCAAAATGAACAAAGCTGGTGGATGTCATGTCAAGCAAAGTGACAGACAACGCATTCTCACATGAGGATACTAGTAACAGTCAATGTTCGTATCCTGTGAATGCACTACAGTGATGACTACAGACTGGGACACAGCGAGGACAGAGGGAGGGTAGGTGATGGCTACAGCTGCAAGGCTCCACAGCACAGTGGGACAACTGCACTTCACAGTGAACTATTACAGCCTGTACTAATAGCTAGAAGAGAGAAGTGTGCAGGCCTCAAATACAAAGTAATGAGGAAGGGATGGGAACATTAGCTTTTCTGCTATAACCACACATTGTATGCATATATTGAAATGTCATAAACATGTATAATTATATGGTAATTTAAAACCTTTAGGGCCAGGGAGATAGCTCAGTGGCATAAGTGCCTGCCTGGCAAGCACAAGGTCCCAAGTTCAATCCCAAGCACCGAAAAATAAATAAATCAATAAATAAAAATTAAAAATAAAACCTTTAAAAAGTGTAAGGTGATGGAAATGGTCACTAACCTGATTTGAACATTACACACCATTCCCATATTGAATTATTGTACAGAATTTCACAGGCAGGCACTGTACCACTGTGTTATATCCCCGATTCATACAGTACTTCACAAATAAGTACTACTAAAATCATGGTTAAGAAAAAAGTTTTAAAATGAAAATGTCATGGACTTATGCAATTGTTTATTGTTGATACTATCAATACAGTGTGGGAAGAAACTTGGAAACTTGTGAAAAGTAACTGATAAAGGGCTAGGGACACAGCACAGAGGGACAGCACCTGCCTGACAAGTGTCAGGTCCTGAGCTCAATTTCTGGCACTAAAAAATAGAAAAATAACTGGTAAGACAAACTATCCTATCAGGATTAATTACATCAACACAAGGAAAACCAAATTATAGTGTATCATTAGGCAATCTTTAAAGTACAGAGGTTGCACCAACAAAATAAAACCCTACAATCTCTGTTTAATCTTATAAAACCAACTTGTCCATACTCAGATGGTATTTATATGTGACTGAAATACGAAGGCCTTTTGTTGGTGGTGATGTCGGCTTCGCTGCCTAGAACCCAAAACCAGAGCCTTGCGTGTGCTGAGCAGCTACACCAGCCCGTGCAGCAGAGTGTGCGTGTCTGCACGCGCGCGCATGGATATGCGCATGCGCACATGGATACACTCTTGCACGCGTGCTTGTCTACACACAACACTCCAAAACACCAGAGTACAGCTGTCTGAAGCACTTACCTTCTACCTCTAAATTTTTTGATTGTCTTGAAATGCTAAGCATCAAAATATAAGGATTTCACAACTGATAAAACGACTTATAAAAACAAAGTGCAGCTGGGCAGGTAGTAAACAGTGCAGGGTAGTAGCGAGCCTGTAACTCCAGCACTTGGGAGGCTGAGGCAGATGGATCACCATGAATTCAAGGCCAGCCTGAACTGCATAGTGAGACTCCGTCTCAAAAAGAACCCCCCCCAAGAAAAAAGGAATAGGAGGAGGCGAAATTTCAAGTTTGTTGGTTAGTACAAGGCTGTAATTCCTGCAAACTAAGTAATTGAGAAAGGAGGATTTCAAATTTGAATCCTACCTGGGGAATTTAAAACAAAAGGGGTTAGGGATGTAGCTCAGTGAGAAAGCTGTGGGTTCATCCCTACTACCAAAACCAACCAAACAAAAGAATCAAAAGAACAGAAAGTGTCCTGTCCAGAGGATAGATATTTACATTACCACCTCTCCTCACAAGTTAGAAACTTAATTCACGAGAACTCAGGAATACTATAAATAGATCTCACAGCCCCTACATCACTCTTTATAAGGTACATATAAAGCTCTATCTTAACATAAAACACCACAGTGGAACTATTATAAGGAAGTTTTCTTAGTTAATAGACTCACTGTTAGCATTCAGAAGAACAATGACATTCTTGCGAAGGATAAGAAATGTTGAAGTCAGCAGGGGAGACAGCTCAGCAGGTCTAAGCACAAGGATCCAGGTCTGAACCCTGGTACCGCGTGTTGTGCCCGCCCTGGAACCCTAGGCACACTACGCTGGCCACCAAAACCAGATGCGTGGTGGCATACGCTTGTGATCCCAGCACTGGGGAGGCTGGAGGATCACTATGGAGCTGTGTAGTGAGACCCTGTACCAAAAAAAAAAAAAAAAGACATGCTGAAGTCACATCATTTCAGTACAGAAGCACAAACTGTCACTAAACAGAAACAGAGGATTAAGCTTAAGATCTGGTGATTCCTGTGCTGGGGATTGAAAGTCTAGTGTTCAATCCCTAGCACAGGAAACAAAAATGTGGTGCTGCTGCTGCGGTGGCACTAAATATACATATACAGGCGGGGTTATACCGCATGTCTTTTACAAATCTACATCCACAAAATCTGAACCCTTAGCAAAACAGCTATCAAGAGAAGCAGCATGTAAACACTGATTTGTTTTCCAAGTGTGCCAGGCAGTTCATGCTATCCTATTTTTAGTTAACTTCTTGATTTCTCAAGGCCAAGAAAACCACAAGATCTAAAGTAAGAATCACTGTCACGATGACACCAGTAGTCAGATAGTTTTCTATTCTTGACTAACTTTCATACCCCCCTATGTGTTTCATCAAATCTTTAGAAACACACAAATACCAGGTTCCACAAGAGTTCCACAAATCACATGAAGCAAAAAAATAAAAATAGCAGCATTTTGTAAATATACATAAACACACACACACAGAGGGAAAAAAAATCTAGCCCGCCCATCTCTGCAAAAACTGAAACATTTAATATAGGAATGAAAGAGTATAGGTCCTTGTCCCTAGCCTTAATCTATGAAAAGAACTTAAATCAGCTCAAATCCACCAATCATGGCAGTTTTTAAAAATAACTTTACAAAGAATTTAGTAGAATCTAGAACTGTGTTCATATCTTATACAAGCCAGTTTGATATCCAAAAAGAATCAAAGCTACATAAGCTTTACATTTGAAAGTGAATTCAGTTCTGGCAGTGCATACCTGTAATTCCAACACTCAAGAGGCTCCATTAGTGGGTGCAAGGCCAGTCCTACATAGCAAGACCCAGTCTCCAAAAATTTTCATTAAAAAGTGAATTTAACCTTCATTAACAATATTCCAGCATATGAAGAATGAAGAGAGTAGAGCTAGAAGACTGGAAAAAATCCCCATACTAGGTTTGTCCAACTACTAACAACACATATTACACCAGGCTTCTTGGAAGTACAAAAAATCTTGAAAGAATAGCAAGTTAATATGGCATTTTTATAAGACAAAACAGTATTCATTAGAACATCTGTGATTCAATAGTTTTTTTTCAATAGTTTTTCAAAAGCAGTATTTAAATTTAAATTCGCAGAAGAGCCATGAAAATGTCTCCATTATATCGAAGTTCTGAGGATCTGATAATTAACAAAATAAACACATTTACAAACAACTCTGCACTATAAATAAAAGCCTGCAGCATGAAGAGTTTACCACTGACACCAAAACTGACTTATTTAAGCAGGCCTCCAACTTCTGCCTCTGCAGGATGGCTGCTTCTGAATTGTAAGCATGCTTCACTATAACAACACTGATTTTCTTTATAACTAAGTGGCTATGAGAACTGAGAAAGGGAAATGAAAATAAGATAATTATGAGGCATGTCCATCTAATTGTACAACCCTATCTAACAGTTTCTCTTGAGTTTTGCAATAGCATTGTTACGTTAATAGAGTTCTTGTGTTTCTGTTCAGTTCAGCAAATTTTTATGTGCCAAGGTCTTTATTCAGAGCCAAGGATAAATGTTCTCTAGGGGACCTCAGTTACTATTACATAACTTCATTAAGTTGAAGAAGAGGAAGCTAATTTAATCTGAAAGGAAAGCTAAGAATTCACCTCCCTTTGAAAAAATATTGACTAGGGAGATAGCTCAGCAGCATAAGCGCCTACCTGGCAAGCACAAGGTCCAGAGTTCCATTCCCTGGAACCGCAAAAACAAAAATTTTCCAACAATCATTTGAAGGCACGACATATACTCTATATACATAAACTTGAAAGGTTATTGCAATTAATAATCATCACATGAGGATTAAATGATACAGTAGCAAATATTTGATTAAAAGCAGCAGCCAGGCATGGTGACCCATTCCTGTAATCCCAAGACTTGAAAGGCTGAGTGAGGGAAGAGGACCACTGTGAGTTCAAGATCAGCTGCACTATATACTGAGACCCTGTCTCAAAAAATATACAAATAAATAAATGTGGCCAACAACTTTGCAAAAATCTGTACTTAGGAAAAAAAAAAAAACTGTAGGGGTCTGGGAGATAGCTTGGCATCTAAGCACCTACTTGGCAAGCGCAAGGACCTGGGTTCTACCCCTGTAACCACATGCCATGCTGGCCCTGCGCCCAGCTGGCCAGGGAAACTGGGCATGGTAGCGCACACTTGTAATCAGCGCTGGGGAAGCTGAGACAGAAGGATCACTACGAGTAGGAGCTGTGTAATGAAACCCTGTACCAAATAAATAAATGAATAAATAAAAGATTAAAAACAACAAAAAGAAAAAACTGTAGAAGTGAAACACTGTATGGGAAATGCTTAGCTAAACTCCAAGACTGGGCTGGTGAAATGGCTCAGTGGTCTAAAGCACCTACTTAGAACAAGCTAAGCTAAGCAAACCACAGGGACCGCGGTTCAATCCCCAGCACCACATGCCAGCCAGCCCCGCCCCCTGGTGGGCTGAGTTGGCCGCACACAAAATAAAAATAAATAAAATTAAAAAAAAAAAAAACCTTTAAAAAAAATAAACTCCAAGACTTCATGGAGCCATGCTATAATCTAACTATTACTAAAGAAAGTCAATTTACTTCATCTAAAATCAATACAAATTGTTTTTAGTTTTTGGTTTTGGTTTTTTGAAAGAAGGTTTCACTATGCACTTCAGGTGGTCTTGAACTCATTATGTAATCCAGGCTGGCCTTGACTCCTCCTGCCTCAGCCTCCCAAGTGCTGGATGACAAGTGTGCACCACCACACCTGACTAGAGTGAATATAAATTTTGAATTCATTATTTTTCTGCTCCAATTATGTTTTCAGTACTCTGCCTTCTATAAAAAGCATCTCTGTACTCACCTGTCCCAGTTAGCTGCCCACTACAACCATTTTTCACCCTTACTTTTCTAGATCACTCTCCTAAAAATATTTATACATTATCTGCAAAGTAGCACGTGACTATTTCTGCAAGTCGATCAAAAGTAGGCCTCAAGTTTTCAAGAGGTAATTCCAATCCCGGAATTACCAGTGAGAGGAAGATCTGGTAGACTCCTGGGCAGCTGCAGAACTTCATCTCTATTCACCATATTGGCCATATTTTCACCCTATGGCCAATACATATAACAACTCCTGCTGTGAACGTGTTGTCAAGTCAAACTGAGCATATGTAACACACAAGTGTCCAAATGCCTCCTGAGTTTTAAAATTAAAAGGTAATCCCGGCATAATGAAGGCTGAGGCTGGCGGAAATTAAGTGCGAATATATTAAATTTTCTTTTCTGCATTTAAACTCGTCTGACACTGAAATCTATTTAAGGGAAAAATACAAAAACGCTGAAGTGCAGCCTACTATTAGAGAAGAAATCCAAATGATATCTTTATTTTCAGAAGCACTCCTTGCACTACCGTCTGCAAGCATCACTTCCTCTCCAAGACTCCCCCCAGACCTGCAAGCAAATCAGTGATGAACACCGCCCCTCTTTCAGATTCTTAAAAGAATCACCGTCCACAAAGAGCAGAGCCCTACAATCCCAGCGCCCTGGCTCTGGGCTCTGCCTCGAGAAACACCAACCTGTAAAATTGCCAAAATCCTAAATGCGATCCCCAAGGGCTCCTTTTCTTTCCTAACCACATCTCCCTTTCCGATGCTTCGCTCCAGCCTTCAGGCCAGAGGACTTCCCACCCAACAGTCGCCCTCAGGACCCTCCCCGTCAACCCAGACTCCTGCTCCGCGCCGCCGCCGCCGCCACCTGCCCGGGGGCTGTCAGTCCCAGCCGGTGTCTCGCTCTCGCCCTCACCCGGGGAGCCACACCGGCCCCGGGCCTGCTCCTCGGGTCCCCCATCCCTACCCCCACGCCCTCAGCATCTCTTCCTTCCTCCCTCGCGGCTCTCCACCCAAGCCCTCGCCCCGCTCGGCCCCCGGCCCTCACCCCCGGCGCCGCCGCCCCCAGGCCTCCGGCTCCACAATCTCCATTTCCTCCGGATTCCATCGCAGAGCGGCCTTGCCGGCTGCTCAACCGTCTCCCCCTCCGGCTCCCGGCCATTCCGCAGCCCCCCGCTCCGCCCCAACGCCCCACTCACCCTTGCTGCAGGCGCCCCCCAGTCTCCCCTCGCCTCAGCCTCGGTGCCCGCTCACCTCCGCAGTGGAACTCGGGATCCCCGGACACACCTCCGAGTCGGCGTCCGAGGCGCCGCCGGAGTTCGGCGTCCGCTGCTCCTCGCCAGAGTAAAGCGCTTCGCACGGCGGGGGCGGGGCCCGGGGCGGGGCCCAGGGCGGGGAGCCTGCGGGGAGGCGGAGGCGGTGGCGGCTGCGCGCAGGCATCGCTCCGGCCCCCTCGCCGCCGCGCCGGCAGCTGCTCGGAGCCAACCCGGAACTGACCCGGGAGGCGGGGCCCTCGGACGGGAGGCGGAATGGTACTGGCGAAGGGGCGGGGCCAACACCGGAAGGGACACTGAATTCCAGAAGGCCGGGAGGGAAACAGCAGCAGGAGAGCCCGAGAGTTCCTATGCCTGACTCGAGGCCGACCAGGAGAACTGGGAAGAGTGGGGAACTTGAGGGCTTGGTAAATAGGGTAGGGTTTAGAAGGCTGTCCTGATTCCTTGAGAGGGACCAGCGCCTCTTCAAGAGCCAACTGTCAGTGATCAATGCTGGCATTCTCTGCTTCTTTTGACAGTGTCTATGCCAAATGCTAAATAATTACTCAATCTCATTTCAGCTCTACAAAGTAGATCATACATCGCAGAGAGACCAGGAAACCTATTGCCTGACAGGTTGTGACCAGAGTTTTAGGGCAAAATCCAGTTCCCGGGTCCCAGAAGACCAGGTTCAGCCGCCTGTCCAGTAACTCCACTCAAAGAGCAGTGGCAAAGGGCAGGAAAGGAGCTTTAATTAACAAGGCCATGCTGCAAAGTCTGGACTAAAAGACTCAGGATGTGTCATTAAGAGGCTGGTAGACGCTTGGTCGTGGAGAAAAGGGGAACAAAAGCTGGAAGTTGGCAAAGCTGGTGGCATAGGTCACCATGGTCAAATTCTTAGCCTGGTTAGTGGGTGTCTCCAGACAGATTCTGGGCCATCATTGACCGAGGGACAATTTGGTTCCCATCCTGAGCTAGGGACACTTGCTTGGAGGGGCAGCTTCAGATCCTACCATCAAGTGGGGTAACTGCTCCCATATGAGGGGTGACCTCATCATGAGGTGGTTTTTGAGGTTCTGTTTCCCTAGAATCTGAGATGGCTGCAGGTTTAGATCAATGACTAGAGACTTCTGGCTCACTATAAGAGGTCAGGAACTGCACATTGTAAAAGCTAGCAATTGGATGACTTTCAAATCCTAAGAATTACTTTATTAACTCTTCTCTTGGTGTCCTCAGTCTTGAAAGGGGGGAGGGTGAGAGAAGTTAGGTACATTTAGGGCTGTACGCCTTGTAATTCAGATACTCCTTAAGTGATTAGCATGTCCATGTGCAGACCTGAGCAGAGACTGGACCCGAAGTTCTAAAGTAATAAGGGAGACAAATAAAATGAAGGCAGAGGTGCCAAGTTATGTCCTACATTTTGTTACCCATTGATTACGTGCAGGTACAACATTTAAATCCCTCTTGCTAACTCACAGTTACTGTGTGTCCAAGCTGCTATTCCAGACCAAATCTGTCTAACATTGATATAGGGGAAATATAACGCCCAACCTGCTAGATGTCCAAAATGCTGAGCCTATGTTCTCTATAAACGAGGAATGAGAGCCAGTGAGAGCTCATCGAACTAAGTGCCTGCTTTAGCAAGCACAGGGACCAGGGAACGATCCCCATTTCACACACCCTGCCAACCCCGCCTTCGGGCACGCTGAGCTGCGACCAAGTCCAGGCATGGTGGCACAAGCCTATAATCCCAGTACTGGGGAGGCTGAAAACAGGAGGATCACTGCATGTCCGAGCTGCATAGTGAGACCCTGTATCAAATACATAAATGGGGGGGGGGACAAGGAATGAATTCTAGAAACAATGGAGTTTAAGAGTAAGAAGGATTTATTGAGAGAAAGTGTTAGTGATATCGAGGAATGAAACTCCCAACCTGAGAGGTATCTTGGATGAGTTCATGTTCTCTAAAACCGAAGAATGAATTTTAGGAACAAACGGAGATTAAGAGCGAATATATTTATTGGAGGAAAGAAAGCTTCTGTCTGAGAGAGGGACAGAAGGGGGACCTGAGTGAGTTGCCCCAGAATCTGCCTCTTCCAGGGATTTTTATAGAGTAAAACCATGTTTGAGGTGGGTCTAAGGTGGAAAACATGGGAACTCAGGTGGGCATGAGGTGGGACAAAACTATGGTCAACCAATGAGATTACAAGCACCAGTGCTCAGGTAAAATTGATTAAATCCAGGACCAAATGGGGAAGCAAGTCACATAGCAAGTGGGCCTGAATATAAAACAGGTTTACCAGGTAGCCAGTAGCAGTTGGATTAGTGAATTTTCCTGGCTTCCTCAAGGTGATGATCAATCCCCGATGCTTGTCTTTAAGGAGGTAAACATTTGTTCAATCTTTGGTCTTGAGGCCGGGCCCACAACGGGAACACACTTCTCTCTCACAGTTGCAAGGTATCTTTCTGTCTCCTTGAGGGCCTGGCCCTGTCTGAGTGCCTATATTTCTATATAATTCAACTGCCTACAGCAGGATGAGTTCGTGTCTCTAAAACTGAAGAATGTGTTTTAGGAACAAATAGAGGTTAAGAGCAGAATATATTTATTGGGAAAAAGAAAGCTTCTGTCTGAGAGAGGGACAAAAGGGGGACCTGAACGGATTGCCCCAGCAGTCTGCTGTTTCTAGGTATTTTTATAGAGCAAAACCATGTGGTGAGGTGAGTCTAAGGTGGAAAATATGACAGAGGTGCACAGGAGGTGGTTGACACTACTATGGTCAACCAATAAGGTTACAGGCACAATAGCTCAGGTAAAACTGATGAAATCCAGGACCAAATGGGGACGCGAGTCACGTAGCAAGGGAGCATGAATAGAACAGGAGCTTATCTGGTAGCCAGTAGCGGTTGGATTAGTGACTTCCTGGCTTCCTCAAGGTGATGATCAATCCCCGATGCTTGTCTTTAGGGAGGTAAATATTTGTTCGATCTTTGATCTCTAGGTCTGGCCCACAGCAGGTGTCTGTCTCTCTCACAGCTGCAAGGTATCTTGTCTTCCATGCTGTCTCCTTGATGGTCTAGCCCTGTCTGACTGCCTATAATATTTCTGTCTAATTCAGCTGCCCACCAATAGCTTCTGAACCACGATGGTGATCACCTAACATGGCTGAAGCCCAAAAACAACAGCTTATCTTCCCGGTGCCCACCTCCTCCTTTAGCCCCACCCTGGCCTTTTCCCTTTCCTGATCCACAAGGGAAACCCCAATTGGCTCCTTATGTGCCACTGAACCTGCCCCTCAAACTCTGCCCCTGGTGAAAGTCTGTAAAATCCCAGCTGCCCTTTGCCTCAGGTCAGAGGGCCCCTGCCATCTTCCTGCTCTCCGTGTCCTCAATAAAGGCCTTTCTTTATTCCTGCTTCTCTGCTGTGAAAAAAAAAAAAAAAAAAAAAAACAAAAAACCAGAAATTTTCTAAGAAGGACAGAAAGAGGCCCAGAAGGAGGGTAGCCCACTAACCTGTCTTCTCAAAGGTGTTTATTGAGCAAAGCCACAAGGTGAGGCGGGTTTAAGGTGGAACACAACTATAACCCACCAATAAGATTATAAGTACAGTCACTGAGGTAATATTGAGCCAATGGAAAGATCATAGGATGGGCATGAGGCGGGACAAAACTATGGTCAACCAATAGGATTACAACAAGTACAGTGGTGGTATCAAATGGAAGTGAGTCACACAGCAAGCAAGTGTATAGGACAAGGACTATCCTGGGAGCAGTGCGTTAAAGAGGTTTGGCCCTCCTCCTAAGGTGACTGATGTCCATTTAGAGTGCCAACCACTGCTGTTCGTCCTCAGGAGAAGTATACAGTGAGTTCTTTCTTTTCTTTTTTTTTTTTAAATTTTTTATTTTATTTTATTTTATTTTATTTTATTTTACATTTACTGTGTGTGTGTGTGGCCAGCTCAGCCCACCAGGGGGCGGGGCTGGCTGGCATGTGGTGCTGGGGGATTGAACCGCGGTCCCTGTGCTTTAGCCAAGCTTGTTCTAAGTAGGTGCTTTAGACCACTGAGCCATCTCTCCAGCCCAGTTCTTTCTTTTCTTCAAGCCTGGCCTTCAGTGAATGTGCCACCAGCCACAATTATCTTCTGCATTGACCTCTCGAGCACTCAGCCCTGACTGCCTACCATATTTCTACCTAACTTAGCTATCTATAATAACATCAGAACCTATATTTTCACTCTACTGTTTTACCCCACTCTGAGGAAAGATCCCAGCCAGCCCAAGCCTAGCACTGGCACAAACCAGTTCCAAAGCCGGCTGCAACCAGGGCTCTTGCCCCTGCTTGGCCTTGCTGGCCCCCATAATGCCATGAGAACTTCATGAACATGGCAGGAGCAGGTCCTGGGTTGGTGGAGCGCACACTGCTTCCACTGGGGCCCTAGGATAGCCTTTCCTCAAGAGCCCAGGGGAAGCTGGGGACCTGCCCATCAGAGCTTATGCCCCTGCAAGCTCCAGCAGGGCTTCCAGGAAGTCAGGAGACACAAGGAAAGTTACCTCATCCCACCCCCCACCCCACCCCACAACCAGCTCTCGCAAAAAAAAAAACAAGTCCATCTTTCCTCAGTTCCTCTCTGAGGCCAAAAGCCTCTGGCCCCTGGAATCTTCTGTACATCCAAGATAACTGTGGGTTTTGAAGCAGAGTTCTAGGAATCAGTATTTGGGTGTAGGCAGAGGAATCTCCCTCCTACTCCATTAACAATTACAGACACTTTGGCTCTCAAAGCAGTGATGGTGAACCTTTCAGAGCTTTCAGCAATAGCCCACTGCAGTACAGGATCAAGTTTTGCTACCACTGGCTAGGGCCACACTCACCTCTCCTCTTCCGCCTTCTCTTTTGAGAAATCTGCTATCCTCATCACAAGGCCATTGTTCAAACCTTCCCTCATAAGCCTTGTGGGTTTTTAGATGCTGCCTCCCATGTTTTCTCCCCATATTTTTCTGACTCTACAAACTTTGTCCCTGGGCCTGAGCTCTATAACACACAGGTGCACCACACAGACATCTGGCTCCCACCTACTTTGTGGCCTACTCAAACCTGCACAACTTTGCATTTATTTATTTATTTATTTATTTATTTAAGACAAGGTCTCACTATATAGCCCACGCTTGCCTGATACTTGTGATGAGCCTCCTGTCCCAGGCTCCTGCGTACTGACATCCCAGGCTGCACCACCACACTTGGCTCTAGCAAAGGCTGTTCTATCATTCCTCCTTGGAGCCAGCTCTATCCCGGCTCTCTGCTTTAACTCAGTCTTAGTGGTACAGAAAACCTGTATCCATCCTAATGGAAGACTCTTTGCCCTGAGGAGTTAGAAGGCAAGTTTTATTATGCTAGCAGGCTGAGGAACCCAGAGGTTCAAATCACCAGCCCAGCACCAGGTTTGAGTTCTGTTTAAATATGGTTTGGGAGTGGGAGGTACAAAGCTGACAGCAGGTTATTACATGATTGGTTACATGGAATGCAAGAATTATGTTATCTATTGTCAGGCAGGTTTGTACAGAAACATTTGGGAAGGAGGGAGTCGGAGAAGAGCAGGTAGAGTTGAAAGTGTCCTTAACTGGGCCAGACTTCCCCTAAACATGACAACAGCCTTGAAGTCCTTGAAACAGGTGGAATCATGGCATATTTTAAAAACACAAGCCAGATACAGTCAGTCTGATCCACACATTGTTAAGGGGGAACATCTGGGCCTAGACAGGAAGCATGAACATAGTCACAGGCTAGGAACTGACTTCTAACTTTTGCTATAATATGCCCACAAAAGGTGCCCCAACAGAACCAAATGGCCTAATGGAGGGGTCTAAATCTATCAATTTGACAATCATTTCAATGCACCCCCATGTGTCAGACCCAGCTCATCCTCTACCTCCTGTAACCTTTGCAACCACTCTCTGGGAGGCGTGATCATCCTTAACTCTACAGAGGGAGACACTAAGCTTGAGAGGGGTAGTGGCTCGAGGGGGTCAGTCTGAATCCACATTCCCCTGGAATCTGGGGGTGACTCTGGCTTGGGAGAAACCAGTCCTGTCCTCTCTGGAGGCCTCTCGTCACTCTTGTTGCTGAGTCATTCTTGTCCCACCTGTCCCTGCCAGTCTCCGGGAAAGGGAAGTGACACTGGAAAAGCAGAGCAGAGCTAACACAGAGCAGGGGGGTGGGCCACGCTGGCCCATGGCGGAGGCCTCGCTCCCTGAGCTGGGGGCAGACGTGGAGGGCACAACTTGTCCCAGCGTCCTGGAGCTGGAAGAGCTCCTGAGGGCAGGGAAGGCCTCTTGCAGCCGCGTGGACGAAGTCTGGCCTAATCTTTTCATAGGAGATGCGTGAGTGGCTACTGGTCCTAAGAGGAAGGGGCAAGAACAAGCAGTTCTTGAGCGTTCTAGTAGATGGGGCGGAGGGCGTGCCTGGAAACAAGGAGAAATCTTGGACAGACAGGGACTTTCTCCAGGGCTCCCACATGTCTGAGGCAACACACTAACCAGGGGTGGCCATAGGAGGGGGAAAGGGCAGGGATCTCCCCCGCCTGTCAGAGGGGGGCTTCCCAAAGGGCCTTCTGGCACATCCAGGACAACCGGCTGATCTGGGGACAGAGGTCGGGGAACAGAATATATGAAGTATGAGATAGGGCAGACAGAGACTCCATTTCTGGTGCCAGCCTCCCTGCTGTGGACACAGAGTAGGTGGAGAAGCCTACTGGTGGCAATTCAAGGAGGTGTCAAGTCTAAACATCTCCAGGTTGGGAGCAGGTCTGCGGTGGTGACCAAGATGAGGCAGGCTGTGTGTGGGTAGAGATGGGGCAAGAAGGGCAGGGCAGACCATTCCCAGGTGGAAGCACTCCCTTCCCTCCTGAGCTGGCTGGGGACAGAGAGTAACACGCCAAGCCTGCACCCACTCTGCCCCAGAAAGCGCTGCAGCAGGGCTTGCTGGGCTCTGGCTCCTTCTGGCCCCTCTGGCTTCACCAAGGACAGAACCCCAACAGGTCCTTTCTGGACCCACATTCAGCCAGCTTCCAGCTCCCTTCCTGCCCTCCCCAGGGCCACAGCAAACAACCGCTTTGAGCTTTGGAAACTGGGCATCACCCACGTGCTGAACGCCGCCCATGGGGGCCTCTACTGCCAGGGCGGCCCTGACTTCTACGGCAGCAGCGTGAGCTACCTGGGGGTGCCAGCCCACGACCTCCCCGATTTCGACATCAGCACCTACTTCTCCTCCGCAGCAGACTTCATCCACCAAGGCCTCAGCAGCCCTGGGGGTAGGCCTTGGGGTCGGAACCCTGGGCCCACCCTGTGTGCTCATGGGGAGGACACCCTGCTTCCCTGCATCATCAGTGCCTTTCTGTCCTGGTTTCTAAAGGCCCTCCCCTCCATGCCCCAGCCCTTCATTCCCCATTGCTTCACAGACAGGAGCAGGCCCCAGAGTAAGGGGAGTTTGAGGCAGCCCAGTGCTGGGAGCCAGGTCTCCAACTCACAGAGTGATTCTTTCTCTGTGACCCTCGCCCTCAAGAAATCACTACTGGTACTTAAGGCCTGGCCCAACAGACTTTCAATTTTTTTTTTTAACTTTAAAATACCTAGGATATAACAAAGGAGGCTAGCAGGGTGTGGTGGGACATCCCTGCAATCCCAGTATTTGGGAGGCTGAGGCAGGAGGATCGCTATGAGTTCAAGGCCAGCCTGAGTCACATAGTGAGATCCTATCTCAACCAACCAACAACCAAACCAACAAAATGAAGACTAACAAGGCTGGACCCCTGGCTTTGATTTTTTTTTTTTTTCCTGTACCAGGGATTAAACTCAGGACCCTGTACTTGCCAGGCAAGTGCTTATTCTACTGAGCTATCTCCCCAGGTCCTTTTTATATTTTTTAAAATTAAAAAAAAAATTTTTTTTTTCATGGAGCCGTGGCTTTCTACTCATCCTGGGAGACAGTTGTGCCCCTTGCTATGTGATCCTGGGAAAGCCAGTGTCCCTCTCTGGACCTCAGTTTCCTCATCCTTATAATGGGAATGATGTGACCACTGCTCATACTGACTTTTCCTGTTCAAAGCACCCGGACGTACTTGCATCTGCCAGCTATTTGCTGAGCATCTGCTCTGTGCCAGGCACTGAAATAGGTTCTGGAAATCCTGACTTCCACAAGGCAGGGTCCGCACAGCCATAAGACTTGCCAGTCAGATAGCAAAGCATCAGGGGTCCTGCTGCTAGGAAGAAGTGAAGCTATGAGGACCCAGGGCAGGGAAGTGGGACTTCCTTCTGCAGGAGGAGCTGCTGGGCCACATGCAAAATCTATGAGCAGCCCTGTGACTCAGGTGCTGCCTGTGAGGTCAGCTGACACTAGAAGGCTGAATAGTAGAAGTAGCAAGCCGGAGACTGGGAGAGGCACCCCAGGAAGTACAGCTAGGGCTGGAGGTGGGAAGGTCACAACAGAAAGCTCCACAGTGTTCCTGGAGCTCAGAGTGGGGGGCCCAGTGAGATGGGCTGTGGGCTCACCTCAGGGGCTTCTAGGCCATGTTGAGAATTGGCCTCCATCCCAAAGCTAGGAAAACAGGGGTCCTCTACCCATCTGAAAGATCAGGGACTTAGGTGGAGGCAAGAGGATTGCCCAGTGTTTGAGGTCAGCCTGTGCTACACAGTGAGCTCAAGGCCGTCCCGGACTACAGAGCAAGACCCTGTCTCAGCTGGGCATATAGCTCAGTGGCATAAGCACCTGCTTGACAAACGCAAGGCTCCTGAGTTCGATCCCTGGTATTGAACAAAAAAGAAGAAAAAATAGCTCAGGAAGCTGAGGCCTGCAGAGGCTGAGCACCTGGCCGGGGTCCCAAAGTACACCCAGGCAGGGAGGAGGATGGTGGGCTGGCCGGAAGGGACCTCTCAGCCACTGTCTCCCCAGCCAAGGTCCTGGTGCACTGCGTGGTGGGCGTGAGCCGCTCGGCCACGCTGGTCCTGGCCTACCTCATGCTGCGCCAGCGGCTGTCCCTGCGCCAGGCTGTGCTGACAGTGCGGGAGCGACGATGGATCTTCCCCAACCGTGGCTTCCTCCACCAGCTCCGCCAGCTGGACCAGCGGCTGCGGGGTGGCGAGTGTCGGAGCTGAAGGGCCAGGTGACCAGGGCATGGGGCGAAGCTGGGCATGGCTGCAGTGAGGAGGGATGTGGTTGGCTGGCAGGGCAATCCACGGCGGGACAGGGAGAGGGGTTAATGTCTGCTAGAGCAGCAGATGTCTGATCATGCCAGCACCCAGTTCTCAGCATAGGGTCTTCGACGACCTGACCGCTGACCTTAGCACCTTGCCCCTTAGGCAGCTGGCTTGCAGGTCGTTGGTCAGTTAGGTTCACAGCACTGCCAAACCCAAGAAGTGCCTTCCCCAAAACCAGGTACCTGTGTAACTGGAGCCCCCAGGAATTGTGCAGTGCACAGGCTGTGCAGCTGTACATGGGGGCTCTGGGGCAGGGGGTCCTGCCAATGAGAAGGCTATGGAGAGAGGTCCTCTGGATGCCAAACTTGCTTCCTCACTTTTCCTTAAAATCTGCACTACTGGACCTGATGCGCAGGACCCAGGGCAGAAGCAGGCTGAGGTGGCAGTTCTCGCCTCTGTCCTAATGGATCCCAGCCAGCCAGGCCCTTGGTTTACAGGCCCATAACATGAAGCTTCTCTCTCTCCAGAGCAGGGACTTGGTCCTCCTCACAGGGCTCTGCCACTTCACCACCGTGGCCAAGCCCCTGCTGCTGTTGCAGCTGCTGCTGCTGCTGCTGGAAGCTCTGGTCCAGGTAGATGCCCAGGAAGTACTACGAGCCCGGTGGGGGGCGCCCCCTGCAGCCTGCACCTCCATCTGCCAGCCCCTGTGCCCCACACCCCCTCGAAGCCACTGCCTTCAGTCTTCACAGGTGGGTGTGGCCTGTCCCCTAAGGCCTGCTGCTCCAGGGAACTTGCAGCTCCCATGGGGGATGGGCAGGAGTCTAGGTGTCCCTGGTCCACAGCCACCTCCTCAGCCTTCCCCAGGGCTCAGGGGACCCCAGCAAGCTGAGTGCCATTTCCCAAGCACAGACCTCAGAGGCCAAAAATCCATGTGTGTGGCGCACACCTGCATTCCTAGTACTTGGGAGGCTGAAGCAGGAGAATCACCTTGAGTTCAAGACCAGCTTGAACTACATAGCAAGACCCTGTCTAAAAATAATAATAGAGGGGTCGGGGAGATGGCTCAGTGGAATAAGCGCTTCCCTGGCAAGCACAAGGGCCTGAGTTCAATCCCCGGTTCTGCAAAAAAATAAAAAATTAAAAAATAAAAATAATAATAGAGACTGGGCGTGGTGGCATGCACCTGTAATCCCAGCACTTGGGAGGCTATAAACAGGAGGATCACTACGAGTTTGATCTACACAGTGAGACCCATAGACCCTGTAGACCCTGTCCGAAATACAAAGAATAAAAATAAAAAATAGTAATATTCGAGGTACTGGCCTATGGCAAGGGTCTCTGGGTAACAAGGAAGGTTCCTAATAGGTCCAAATCTAAGATCTCTCATGATTGCGGTCAGCCTCAGGAGGGTTCTCATGGTCTCATGGAGTGGGGGCCTGGACCCTGCCAGGTGCCTGACTTTGAGGAAGGAGAGAATGGTGGGGGCGGGAGCAACTCCCGGACTAAGCCACCCCGTGGCCCTCAGCCTGCAACTCCAGATTTTTTTTTTTTAATATTTTTTTATAATTATTTATTTATACATTTACTTATTGTGTGTGTGGCCAGCTCAGCCCACCAGGGGGCAGGACTGGCTGGCATGTGGTGCTGGGGGATCGAACCGCGGTCCCTGTGCTTTGGCAAGCTTGTTCCAAGTAGGTGCTTTAGACCACTGAGCCATCTCTCCAGCCCCCAGATTTTTTTTTTTTGTTTTGTTTTGTTACTTGACACAGGGTATCACTTTAGAGTTCAGGCTAGCCTGCAGCTCACGATGCAGCTCAGGCCGGCCTTGGATTCATGGTAATCCTCCTGCCCCAGCCTCCCTTATGTGGGGATCACAGGCCTGCACCACCATGCCCCTCTGTGTCTCCAGATCTCAATCCTGGACCTGTGCCACCGTCCTTAGCTCTCAGTAGGGCCCCGGGACTGGACACTGAGGCTGGCAAGGCCACCAGCTTGTGTGTGCTTCCAGTGCACCTCCCACCTGTCCTCTATGGGTCCTTCCGGTCCCACTTCCTGCCCTTGAGCTGTTGTTTTGAGGGGACTGAGGCTACAGTCCAGTCAGTGCTGTCCATGCACTGGGCCACACCACCCCCAGAGAGAGCTCCTGAGATGGTCTGTCCAATGTCCCCTGCCAGCTGTCCCCCCACGGACATACCACACACAAGCCCAGCAGGGCCAGCACCAGTCAGGCCTGGCACTGAGCGACCCTGGGACCAGTGGACAAGTTGGGAGTGGCAGGGGTGGCTGAGGGGGAGCAGGGCAGCATGCTTATAATTAAACTCCAATCAAAAAATAGAAACAGCATCAAGTGTTCAGAGACAGGCAGTCGCCAGCCAGAGGCACAAACTGTGCGTCGGAGAAGCCCTTGGCCAGAGCCAGACACCTCCACAGGTGGGTGACTGCCACTACCCTGGGTGAGGGGGGCGGGCACTCATGCCCTTTGCGGTGGGGGCGCAGTGAGGGTGGGCTGGTTACCACATGCAAAAGAGCTTGAGATACAAGGCACAGCAGCGTCAGAAATGTCCGGGCCCAGATCCTGGCTTCCCATACCCACTGGCTGTGTGATCTTGGCAAATTGTTTAATCTCTCTGAGCCTCAGTTTCCTCATCTGTACAATGGGGATAATAATGTTGCCACCTTCATCAGGGCAATGTGAAGGTTCAGTGAGAAAATGTAAGTGCTTAGCTCTGTCTGGTACATAGTACTTCCTTCTTTAATAGTTGGTGAATGTAAGCTGGGTATGGTGGCATACACCTGTGATCCCAGCACTCAGGGCTGAGGCAGGAAGACCATGAGTTTGAGGCCAGCCTGGGCTACATCATGAATTCAAGAGCAGCCTGGAATACCTGTCTCAAAAAACAATCCAAACAACAAAAACTGTGGTGAAGAAAATAATTACTCCTGAGAGGGGCTTTACATTTGATATCTTCTGGGATGCTCATGGCATCTCAGCTATGGGCATAGAAGACTGGGCTCTAGGAGGCTGTGGAGGAGTGTGCACTTCCTGGGGAAGGGTAGGAAACAGGCAAGGAGAGTGAGCAACCAAAGGAGAGAACTGGATGAAGCCAGGTGACAGGACTGGGCTTATAAACAGCAGCAGTGTGGGAGCAGGAAGACCGTACCCAGAGGCGGCTCCTCAGCAGATGAGCACCAGTGGAAGGACCAAGGTGGTGTAGGGAGCAGTGAGGGCTGCTGTAAGTGGGAGGGACACGGGGCTGGCGTCCCCTACACTGGCTGAGGAAGGGCGGAGGGAGGTGCAAGGGCCTGGGCTGGGCCCCCTCCTGAGCCCTCCCATCCCTGGAAGCAGCAGCAGGTCCACAGAACCTAGCTGCCTGCTCCCTGTACAGTTGGGCTGCATGGCACCCATAAGCCACCAGAGGGCGACCTTACCCCATGCCAAGCTCCAGGCAGAGCAGGCCCAGCTTGCTGCCCAACGCACTTCTGGTCCCCAGGACTGGTGCCCCTCACCTAGGTACTGCGGGTGGGGATGGCTGTGGGTTCCCCAGAACCTAGGTCCCCTCACCCCAACATGGTACATGGCTGCTGCCCTGTTCTGCTCAGGACAGAACCCCAGAGTCCGGAGAGGCCAGGCAGTGCTAGGATCCTCAGCCAGAGACAAGCTGTGGCCAAGACAGCAGCCGTCTCTCAGGGGCCAAAGATCAGGGCTGGACTCACCTAGGGGGACTCAGTCCCCCACCCCACACCCCATTCCTGGACACCACCTCAGGTGGCCTCACATCTTCAGGGTGGCCAGACGCTCAGATCCCTCCCTCCGTCCCAGAGGTGCCCTGGACAGGGCCAGGCTTTGTGGGACGCCTCCTCAGGCCACAGGCTCGGCAGCTCCTGGCCCCCTGGGCCCCACGCCTGGAATCCTGGCCGCTTCACAGCTTTTGTGCTCCAGGCGGAACCCGCCCTGGCGCTGTTCCGCTCTCACCGAGCCCTGCGGCACCAGTCCCCATTCCCCACCCAGGCCATGCCCTAGGTAGGCACAGGCCGCCCAGCCTGCCTGAGAGGTCTTAGCAGGGATGAAGGGCAGAGCGGGGACTTCGCTCCCACCCTGCCCACAGGCCACCCGCTGGCTGAGCACTGCCAAGCCCATGGTCTCCTGGGTGCCTCTGGCCGTCGCAGGTCCTGGCACCACTGACCGAAAGGAGAAGATGTTCTTTCCAGTCTGTACCTTCCCCAGTTGCTGGCTGAGGGGGTCGGGGACAGTCGTCCCAGACAGACCTCCCTTCCCAGTGCAGCATCAGGCCCAGGGCCTGGTGCCCCTGACAGCCCAGCTCTGCAGTGTCCCAGAGAGCCCGGGCCAGCTGCCACCACCGCCAGCAGACACAGTGCAGCCCACACTGGCCAGGCCCATGGAGCAGCAAAGAGGGCTGGAGTCGAGGGGGTAAGGAAGGAGTGTGGCCTACACAATGGGGGGCTAGAACACCAGGCACCAGGAGAGGGACAAGAGGGCTGTGGTCACTGTGGAGTCTCCCAGGGAGCAGCGAAAGGCTTGGGGAGGGACTGAGGGCACACAGGACCGGATGGGAGCTCCAGCCACAGGGTGTGCCTGGAAGCACCAAGCTCCCTGGAGCTCCATGGGAGACAGAGACACTGCGTGGGAGGTGGCGCATGCACGCACGTACACAGGAGAGGCCCTGCTCCTCCTGTGTGGATGATGCTAACCAGCCCACATCTCATCTCTTCCTCAGGGAAGCTCTCATCTCCAGCTCTGGAAAGTAGGAGGGGAGGCTGAGGGCCAGACAGGAAACGGCAGGGATGGGGCTCCTTTGAGCTGTCTAGGATAGGGGCCTTCCCAGTGCTTTCCGGAAGCCGCAGCAACTGGGGCTCCCAAATACCAACTGACCAGCCCCTGGAGGGGTGGGATTTGTACCAGCTTTGCCATAAACCAGGAACCCCAGATCCTAAGCCAGAGCTTCTGACACAGACAGGTGTGTCCAGGAGACCACCAAAGTGCTCATTCAGCTTGCGCCCTGGTTACTTTTCTTGTTGCTGGGACAAAATACTGACACCCAAATTAAAGAAGGAAAGGTTTATTTAGCTAACCGTTTGTGGGAGTTTCGGTCCATACTTGACTGGTTCCAAGGCAGAGCGGCACATGGCAGAGGGCAGCAGTTCATGGTGGTGGAAAACAGGAAAAGCAGCAAGAGCAAAAAGGGAGGAGTGGCAGCAAGCAGGCCTCTTTCCCTTCCTTGTGCTGTGTGCAGGCTGCCTGCGGCCCAGTGGGTGCAGCACTCACGCCCATAACCCCAGCATTGGACCCTGAATCTATCCCAAACTCTAGAACCCTGCCCTATGCCTGCAAACCCTAGACACAAACCATAACACCTTGTCCTTGGGGAAGAAGCCAGCTAAGCTAGTAAACAGCCTCATGCACAACAGCTGGGGCTACTGGCATGGTGACGCAGGCCTGTAATCCCTGCACTGGGGAGGCCCAGGCAGGTGGATCACTTTGAGTTCAAGGCCAGCCTTGTCTCAAAAATAAACAAGCAAACAAATAAATCTGGGGCCTCACCCACAGCACACAGTGGCCCCTGGAACCTGCACCATAGGCCTGCCTGTCTACTGCGGAGCCAGTCTCCAGCTACGGCACTGTCCATCGTTCCAGGATGGACTCGCTGCAGAAGCAGGACCTCCGGCGGCCCAAGATCCACGGAGCAGGACGGCCATCCCCCTACCAGCCGCCCACGCTGGCCTCGCTGCAGCGCTTGCTGTGGGTCCGCAGGGCCCCCACACTGAGCCACGTCAACGAGGTCTGGCCCAACCTCTTCCTGGGAGATGCGTGAGTGAGCCGGCGGTGGGTGGGTGGCCGCGTAAAGGGGGAGGCAGAGGGGCGTGGCGCCCACCCACGTGGGAGCTTTCAGAAGAGGTGGCACCCTTGGCCTCATATCCTCTCTTCCCCCATTTTTCTTCCCTCTTATATTATTATGGGATTTTTGTTTTGTTTTGATTTTTGTCCTTTTTTTTTTTTTTTTGAGATTGTGTCTCTCTGTGTAGTTCAGGCTGCCCTGGACTCTAGCCCAGGCTGGCCTCAAACTCACAGTGATCCTGCCTCAGCCTCCCAAACGCTGATATTACAGACATGCACCACCGTATTTTCTGTTTTGAGACAGGATCTCACTATGTATTCCAGGCTGGCCTTGAATTCACGGTGCAGCTCAGGCCAGCCTCAAACTCCTGGAGATCCTCCTCTGGCCTCAACCTTCCGAGGGTGGGGATTATAGGCTCACAGTATTATGTCTTTTGGTTTTTGTTTTTAACCTGTAGAAACAGAACACATGCAAGAATCGTGCAATGAGGACAAATGGGGCAGCTTCACCTCCTGGGCCAGGAACTAGCACAAAACTTGTGTCCCGGAAGCCCCTACTAAATCCTGCTTATAACTTTTCCCTTCTCCCAGAGGAGGCTATGTTCTCAGACACCCAGTGGATGCCTGAAATTCAAGACAGCACAAAGCCTAAATATGCTGTTTTCTCCTGTTCATATGTACAGTTTTGGTTTTGTTGCTTTTTTTTTTAATATCAGGGATCAAACTCAGAACCTTGTGCTTGCCAGACAAGCACTCATTCCACTGAGCTGTCTCCCTTATCCTGTTACCTTTTGAAATAGGTCTCACTATATAGTTCAGGCAGGCCTTGAACTGGCAGTCCTGCCTCAGCCTCCCAAGTGCAGGGATGGCAGGAATGGCCCCAGGCTCTACTGAAAGGAGGTCTTCAACTCCAGCGATAGAAGCCCCGCTCACCAGGGCAGCGTGCAGTGCCCTCGGAGAGGCCCAGAGGGGGAAGGGCAAGTCCACTCCCCCAGCCGCCACCGCAGTGAGGTCTGTCCCCACCCTGCTAATCCCCTACCCTCCCAGGTATGCTGCCCGGGACAAGAGTCGCCTGCTGCAGATGGGCATCACCCATGTAGTGAACGCTGCTGCGGGCAGGTTCCAGGTGGACACAGGTGCCAAGTTCTACCACGGGCTGCCCCTGGAGTACTACGGCATTGAGGCAGAGGACAACCCCTACTTTGACATCAGCATCTACTTCCTGCCTGTGGCTCGCTATATCCGAGCAGCCCTCAGTGCTCCCCGAGGTGAGCTGCCAGGGTGGCATCGGCAGGCCAGGGGCAGCTGGGCCTGCGGCTCTCTGGTTCCCAGTAGCACTGAGGGGTGAGGAGCTCAGAGCATGGGCTGCCACAGCAAGCCTCCCACCCTGAGAACCAACGACTTAACTGAGACCCCTGCTGCTGGGTGTGGCGGCTCAGCGTGCAACCCAGCACACACTGTGGAGGCCGAGGCAGCCCTGTGAGCTCAAGGCTGGCCAGTGCTATATAGCAAGACCCGGACTCAAAAAGCCAAACACACAGAGAAAAAGATCTACCATGGCTGGGGTGTAACTGTACCTCTCAGGAAGGGTCAGGCCCTGGGGCCCAGATCTTCCTCTAAGATGAAGGGTTGGCACAGACTAAGGACAGGCCAAGGGTAGGTGGGGAGGGAGGCTGGTGGGTAGACACCTCCATAATCTGATGAAGCTAGGGGTTCCTAGGAGCTCAGTAATCGTCCCTCCTGATAGTTGCAAAGAATGTAAGAGGAGGCACCCTGGACCAGAGAAGGGGATCCTAGCTGTGGCTCAGCCCTACTGTCACACGCTTGCTGTGTGACCTTGAGCCTCTCTTCTTCCCTCTCTGGGCTTTAATGAGGATCCTTAGTATCAATGTTTCTGGGATCCATACCAGGGCTGAGAGGATGGCCAGATGGCCAGAAGTGTCTTTTCTTCCCGAAGGGGGGGGGAGTTGGGGACGGGGGTGGGGGGGTGGGGGGGTGACCTCCGCCGGCCTGGTGTGCGGAGCCTCATGCCCAATTGCTCTCCCGCAGGCCGCGTGCTGGTCCACTGTGCCATGGGGGTGAGCCGCTCCGCCACTTTGGTCCTGGCTTTCCTTATGATCTGCGAGAACATGACGCTGGTGGAGGCCATCCAGGCGGTGCAGGCTCACCGCGACATCTGCCCCAACTCCGGCTTCCTGCGGCAGCTCCAGGTGCTGGATAACCGGCTGGGGCGCGAGGCGGGGCGGCTGTGAGCTCGGGAGCATGGGAGCCCCAGCCTCCACCCAGCAAGGCCGCTGCCCTTTTCAGAGACCTTAAGGTGTCCCTGAGGCAGAGGCAGGGAGAACTGGGTGTGGCCCTGAGTGGTGGATTCCCCGACCCAACCCAGAGATTCTTTATGCAGAAGAGGATTAAGTCTGTCTCTATAATAAAAGGTTCATCGAAAGAAGGACAGGAGAGCTAGTGTCTTGGAGAGGCGAAGGCTGCCCCTCATGGGGACACAGCCTGTGGGGCTCACCTCCCTGGTGCGTCATGGCTGCGGCTGATACGGGGGAGGAGTGCGAAAGAGGAGCTGGGTACAGGAGCTGAGCAGTCAGTGCCTTCCTCTCATGCCCTTGCCCGTGGGCCCAGTTATACGATAAAGAACAAAGTTCCATGTGTCCCTTTCCATGTCCACCCTCCCCAAAGCCAGCTACCCAACTGGAGTCAGAGTAAGGATGGGGCTCAATGATAGAGCAGTTGCAGGGAGGGAGGGGGCGACCTGCACAAGTTTCATCTTTCAGAACCAATCTTTTTAAAAAAAAAAAAAAATCTATTTTTTTTATTTATTTGACAGGGTCTTGCTATGTAGTCCAGGCTGGCCTTGAACTCACTATGTACTCAGGCTGTTCTCAAACTTGAGGCGATGCTCCTGCCTCAGCCTCCTGAGTGCTGGGATTACAGGCGTGCACCACCACGCCCAGCTCAATCTTTTCCCTTACACTCAAGTTTAGAAAGAACAGTTTAACACTGCAGCCACCCAAGAACTAGCGGCATTGAAGAGGACAGTGTGGAGGCAGAGACGCCCAGGAGTCCCAGGTGGCAGGGGAGCAGATGATGAGCCCGAGTTTCTGGGTTCTCAGGCATCAATTAGACAAAACCACCCGGGAAGCCATCCAGCACCCTCACCCAGAACCCGCACAGCCCAGGGGTCCCGGAGACCAACCTGCCGGCGCCCTTCTTCCTCTCTGGCTGGCCTGGAAGCCAGCCTTCTTGGGCCTGTCCCGTGCCCCTGCCGTGCTTAGGTCTGCTCCCCGGGCCTCAGCAGTCATCCCCAAGCGGAAGATCCCCCACAGATCTGGCCCGACTGTCTTCCCTGCGTGCAAAGCCTCTGCCTGCAAGGGAATATTGTACTTGAACTCCAACCTCAGAAGAGCTTTGCATCACCCGTTCCCACACCCACCTCTTCCAAGTTCCCTGTTTCCGTGACAGCTTCCCTGACACTGTTCCTAAGCCAAATACAGACATCATCCTGGACTCCTACATACCCTGGATGTGCTCACTTGGCTTAACTTTTCTTATGTTCCCGCAAAACCCTGCTGGTGGGGGCTCCAGCCCTGCCTAGGTGGATGTTGTACTCAAATGAAAAATCAGATCAATCACCCTCCCTTTTCAAACCCCTGAATGCAAACACTTAGCCCGGGGAGACCGGTGCTTCACACCATCTAATCTCCTGTGTCTAGCAGCATTAATTTGGTTGGTTGGTGTTGTTGACAGTGTCTTACTTTGCTGCCCAAGCTGACCTGGAAATCCTGGGGCTCAAGACAGCCTCCTGCCTCTTCCTCTCAAGAGGCTTGGACAGCAGGTATACCCCGCCACTTCTGTACCACACAGGCTTTAGGCTGCAACGCCTGTGCACGCTGGTCTCACCTTTTCCCTGGGCAAACTCCAGCTTCTCCCTGTGGCCCCATGGGGACATCACTTCAGAGCACCCGTACCACACCCCATGCTGGCCAGAATCTCCTCACTCTCCCTTCAACACCCACTGTCTCCACCAAGCATCTTCAGGGCCAGCTCTACCCTCTCCGGGGGGCTCATGGAGTCTTTTCCATCCCTGACATCTGTGCGCTCTCTCTCTCTCTCCCTCCCTCCCCGCTCTCTCCCTCCCTCCCTCCCTTTAGTACAGGGTCTATAGGGTCTCTCTACACAGATCTGACTTGTACTGATCCTCCTATTTTCAGCCTCCCAAGCGCTGGGATTACAGGCATGCGTCACCACACCCAGTCTCGGTCACCTTCTCAATGTGCCCCCGGGGGTGGGGCCGACATGGCATGTGGGGCCAGGGATGGAACCCTGGTCCCTGCACCTGCCTAAGCAGGACCTTTACTCCACTGAGCTATCTGGCCGGCCCTCCATCTGCTCTCTTCCTGGAGAGTAAGTGCTTTTCTTCCGTGTTCACTTAGAGCAGGTGTCCCCTTTCCCAAACTTGTCCCCAAGCAGGCCAGTCCTTCAGACAGAAAGGAGCACCCCTGGGCAGCTGACTGTATGATGGTGTCCCTCCTCCTCCCAGGTGGACAGAGCCCAAAGCCAAAGAGGCCAAGTGGGCAGGGAGCCACCACTGGGTTTTGTCCTCATTCCTGTCTTTAGCAATTCATAGTATACATACAGTGCACATACACTGCTTGACTGGGAGGGACTTCTATCTCCATTTTACAGATAAACAAACTGAGGCTCAGAAGAAAGGAGACAGTGCTGGAAACTCCTCCTGGTCCAGGATCTCCAGGCTCAGGCTCCAGGGCAGTCCTGCTAGCCACCTAGCAGCACTGGTCCCCATCCCCATTGGGTGTCCTGGGTCTCCCTGGAGGATGGCAGAAGGCCCAGTGCTGAGGGGCCCCACTCATCCCCGGCTCGAAAGTGCTCTCGTTTTGCCTTAGGCTGGAGGGGCCCAGATCCCACTGCCAACGACGCAGGCGTAGCTCAGCTCCTCCCAGCTCGGCCAAAGCTGCTGCCCCCCCCATTCCCTTGGGCCCCTCTGCCTGACAACTCAGTCTTGTTGCTATTTCTTGCTTCTGTGTGGTCAGCAGGACCCAAAATAGTGGCTTCAGAAGCAGTTGTCACTCTGGTCTACACATGTGGCGGTCTGCGCCTGTGCCGTACGTTGGGGGCTTGGGTTTCAGAGAGTCACCTTCTTGGGACTCTGGAGATTGGGCTCAGAATCTGGGGCTGCAGGGGGAGCAGGGAGGAAAGGCAGGTAGAGACAGGTGGCAGGAAAGCCACCTGAGGAGCCAGAGGCCAGCTCCACCCTGGTACCACCCCAGGAATGTCTCCTGCCTGCCACACTCATGGGGACGTCTGTGACAGTGACCACTCTCCTCTCTCTCTCACACACACACACACACACACACACGACTTTGCATGTTGTTTTATTGGTCTTTTTGAGACAGGGTCTCACTATGCAGTTCAGGCTGGTCTTGAGCTCACTTTGTAGCCCAGGCTGGTCTCAAATTCGAAAGGATCCTCCTGCCTCAGCCTCCTGAGTGCTGGGGTTACAGGCGTGCGCCACCACGCCTGGCTTGTAAAAAGCATGGAGCCAGCTTCCTTAGATTTCTGTCAATCTCTCCACACTTCGGCGGCCCTATCCACTGCGTAGGATTAATAACCACCATACAGAATTGCTACAAGGGCTCAGCTGGGAGCTGGCAAGCACTCGGCACTGTAGCAGGGCAGGAGTGTACCACAGAGTACAGCAGGAGCGGAGCACGCACGAGGCCTCGCGCCAGTGGGCCGGTGACAGCCATCTGGGAGTCGCAGCACAGAGGTCCTGCTGTCGTCTGTTGCCCAGAACCACAGACGTGGTCTGAAAGTTGGCCATGTTCTCGGTATGGCAAAGGAAGGGGTAAAGGCTAGAAAAGCTGCGGACATTAGAATAAAGTTTGTGCTTTAAGAATAAAGTGGTGTGTAGTGTCACACCAGTGTTAATTTCTTTCAAAAATAGGGCATAGTTATATAGGAAGCTAACGGAGAAAACTGGGGGAAAAACATAAAAATGTCCCTGCTATCTCTGTAATCCACCGTAAATCTGAAGCTACTTTAAAGTTGAAAAATCAGTGGGCAGCTAATGACTTGTTTTACAAATGCCAAGCACCATGTAAAGGCTTTACACGTAATTTTTTCATGTATCATGTATGACTTTTCTTTCCCTTTTTACTTTTTTTTTTTTTTGGTACTGGGAGTTGAACTCAGTACTTCAAACTTGCCAGGCAGGTGCTGGGCTGTTAAATTACATCCCTGGCCTCCCGTCTCTTTTTACATTTCTGTCTTTTTTCTTTCTTCTCTTTCTTTTGAGCAAACATGAATCAGACATAGTAGAATATTAAGATTTAGTTATGTTGACTTGTAAGAATATAGATTTTATATCTTTTTTGTTTTTGTTTTTGTTTTTTTGGCAGAACCAGGGATTGAACTCAGGCCCTTGCACTTGCCAGGGAAGTGCTTATTCCACTGAGCCATCTCCCCAGCCCTAGTTATATCTTTTTTGTATTCTTAAAATATTTCATAATCTTAAGAAATAGACAAAAGTTTAAATTAGCAATGTCTTACTCTCTATATTTAAGGTCTGAAACCCATCAAGCCAAATGGATTTTATATTTACTTATTTATTTAATTTTGTCTTTTTTGAAACAGTGTTTCACTATGTGGCTTGGGCTGGCCTTGAGTTCATTTTGTAACCTAGGCTGGCCTTGAACTCTCAGCAGTCCTCCTGCCTCAGCCTCCTAAGTACTGAGATTACAGGCGTGCACCAAACACTTGACTGCCAAGCGGGTTTAGAAAGTATTCTGAATTAAAACTGTATGATTCTTTCTGGGTTTGGGTCTAAAACACTGCAAATGGGGGGGAGGGGCGCCCATTAGCTCAGTTGTTTAAGTGCCTGCTTAAACAAAGCAGTCAGTCTCTGGGAGCGGTGGTTGGATTCCCAGATACTCAAGGCAATCCAGACCAGCGCTGGAGGCAATCTGGAGCCACCAAAGGAAAAAAAAAAAAAAAAAAAAAACCACACGAAAAACCCTTCTGCGTTTTAAAAAAATAAAAAATAAAAAATAAATAAAACACTGCAAATCTACATGTTGTCCATTGAAAAGTTGCAAGAGGCTTCATTCTGGATCATCTCATGTTAAGAAAAAAGGTTAAGGGCCAGGGAGATGGCTCAGTGGAATAAGTGCTTCCCTGGCAAGCACAAGGGCCTGAGTTCAATCCCGGGTTCCACGAAAAAAAAGAAAAAGAGAAAAGGTTAAAGACCCATTTTGTGTTATTCTGATGGAGTAACTGGTGAGAGAGATACTAGACCAGCAAATTCAACCATCCATCATTTTTGTCACTGTCGCAAAGCTGTGGGCGGGTCTCAGGTGGGTCCCTCCTTGTCACACACAGCACCTCAGGTCAGTATGGCACTCACATTAACCCAAAGCTTTAT